CGCGCACAGCCTTTTCGGGCTTGGGGTGATGAGCGGTGCTGGCTGCGGTGGGGGCCTCCTGGTGGGCAGCAGTTCTGGTCTCCGGTACCTGGTGTTTTTCCAGGCAGGGAAGGGCAGGGCAGGGCGAAGGTGCCCGCTGGCCTTTGGGAAGGTCTTGCGATGGCTCTGATGCACAGGACCTCAACCTGGAGCGCACGGGAAGCGCTGATGGCACGAGAGGCTGGTAGTACGCGGTGGGGGACGTGCTGCCCTCCCTGCTCATCTTCTCCTGTGGCAGACGAAGGCTGGATGGCGGCACTGGAGCACTGGGAGGTGCCGTTTCCCCTGAGAACAGTTTTAACCCATTAGTCGGTAAAGAAGTTTTTCCTCAGGTTCACATGGAACTTCTTGTGGTTCAGTTTCTGCCCGCTGCCTCTTGTCCTGTCACAGGGCGCCATGGAGAAGAGTCTGGCCCCATCCTCTCGACACCCTCCCTTCACATACTTGTACACGTTGATGAGATCGCCTCTCAATCTTCTCTTCTCCCAGCTGAACAGGCCCAGCTCTCTCAGCCTTTCCTCACAGGAGAGATGCTCCAGTCCCCTCACCATCTTGGTAGCCCTCCGCTGGACTCTCTCCAGTAGCGCCATGTCTCTCTTGTACCGGGGAGCCCAGAATTGGACACAGGACTCCAGGGGAGGCCTCCCCAGGGCTGAGGAGAGGGGCAGGATCACCTCCCTCCACCTGCTGGCAACACTCTGCCTAATGCACCCCAGGAGACCATTGGCCTTCTTGGCCACAAGGGCACATTGCTGCCTCATGTTTAACTTGTTGTCCACCAGGACTCCCAGGTCCTTTTCCGCAGAGCTGCTTTCCAGCAGGTCAACCCCCAGCCTGTACTGGTGCCTGGGGTCATTCCTCCTGAGGTGCAGGACCCTGCACTTGCCTTTCACACAGAATCACACAGAATCGTTTAGATTGGAAGGGACCTCTGGAGATCTAGTCCAACCTCCCTGCTCCAGCAGGGACCTCTAGAGCAGGGACCTCTAGAGCAGGATCACATCCAGATGGGTTTTGAATATCTCCAGGGAAGGAGACTCCACTACCTCTCTGGGCAACCTGTTCCAATGCTCTGTCACCCTCACACCCTTTGTTGAACTTCAGGAGGTTCATCTCCGCCCAGCTCTCCAGCCTGTCCAGGTCCCTCTGAATGGCAGCACAGCCCTCTGGTGTGTTAGCCAAAGCATGTCAGTCACATGCTTTAGCATGATAAGGCAGTGTATAGTCCTTCCCCTGTATCTCCCCCGACTTCCAGGCAAAAATTGTCCATGTTTCCTCTGTGGTCTTGTAGTGGGTGAGTAGTGTTGAGCAGAAACCACCCCCTCCTCTCTGCAGGTGGTCTCAGGTTCTCCCCAAACACCTGAGGAACAGTCACTCCATCAGCCTGGGACTGACTGCCCTGGCAGCGCTAACGTCCAGTGGGGATGGCACAACCTCCTCAGAGCTGACGGGCTTGATGGCCCTGCAATCACCTGGCCATGTCCGACGTAGGATTGCTCAGGGACTGAAATGTGCCATGCCTACAGCAGTGCGGAGCACCTGGGTCCTCAGAAGTGCTGCATGTCTGGTCACAGGGTCATTCTGGGATATTGGCCATATCCCTGGACAGTGGAAGGCAGCAGCCCTGTCTCATTTGCTGGAGGTGAAATGTGATGAGATCTCAGTTGTGCCTCTTTCCTACCTGTCCGTATTGCCTGTGTAGACAAACCAGATGTTTACTTGCTTTCCTAGCCAAGTGTAAACACTTGTTTACACTTGCCTCCATTTTTCCAGCATGATGTGCCCTGTGCATGCATGTGCTGTAATTGTCATGCGTGATTTCCCACAGTTCAGGCCTTTGACTCCTTCCCTCTTTCCTGCCATTGCGGAGCAGCCAAGCTATTTGGAATGCTAATCTGACAGGATGCAGTAAGAGAGGCAGCAGTTTGCCATGATTGACTTTGCAGAGGGGATACAGTGGTGTGTCATTCTAGCTTTCTGTTTTTCAAGAGTGTTTTTCAGGAAGGGGGAGGCGCCTGGAACCGGCAGAGGAGCTGGTGGGGATCTGCTGCTTCCCAAAAACTTGGTGCAGCTCCCAGAGGAGATAAACAAGTTAGTCACTCAGTGAGCTCATGGCAGAGGCATCTCGGCCTCCATGAGAATTTGTCGCAGGCCCTTCCTGGGATGCTAGAGTACGTGTGTATTCGGGTGCTGATTCCCTGGAGGAGCAGTCACTGTCTGCAGACGATGACCAGCTCTGTGTTCCTCACGCTTGTGCGCTGCCCGTCATCTGTCCCGAACACCTGCTTCTTCCACGCACCGTGGCGCTGGCAGGACACCCTGGCCTGTCTCCCACCTTACCTTGGCACTCTCAGCAGCTCTGACACAGCCCCTGAGCTGAACAGGGACTTGCCCAAGTGTCTGCAGCATCCAGGCGTGTTCCTGACGTGAACGATGGATGCAAGGACATACAAGTAAATAATGAATCAGCTGTAGGGTTATCGTCCAGGGGTCTAAGAGAGATTTGCGTCTATAGGGAGGGAGATTCCTTTCTCATGGTGTCTTTGTTGGCTACATTTGGGGTGGGCAATGCAGCAGCATCAGGATGTCCCATGGTATATCCTACATGTCCCATGTAGGATTATTTCTCAGGCCAGCTACCCCTCGGGGAGTGGAGCATGGTCTCTGGGGTTACGATCCCCCTTCTATCCCTGTGCCCTGCAGAGCTAAGCCTGTATTGCACATCCACAGCGTGGTGCATGGGCTTTTTGCTCCTCTGCTTCCGTGCACTGGAGGCAGCTGGTACGTATCCGCTGCAGTCCCTCACGTATTTGTGTCCATTGTGCAGGCTTGCGGGACAGGGTCAGGCTGCACTGCAGCTGCAAAGGGGTCCCGGCCCCCATAGGAGGTGTGCTGGCTGGCTGCCATCCGCCTTGAGTGCCTGGCGCTCCAGACATGCACCTGCTGTGTGGTCTGGGCTGTAGGATCTTGTGTTCTGGGAAAGCAAATGCCTGGGAGCTTTCTGAGGATTTCCCAGGCAGAGTCAGGACCTGGGAATTTTCTGTCCCCCCTCCCCTCCTTCCTCCAGCGATGGCTCTCATTCACATTCTGGTCCTTGGGTCACAAACGGTTTTAAAAAAAGCAGCAGCCCACACAATACTCTTTCCTTCTCTGTCGGGTGCTGGTGACGAGATATCACATCCGGCCTCGAAGATACAGAATTAGCCCTCTGCCTGGGAAAGGCCCTGGCAGGCCTTGCCTGCGGCTCTAGCACTATTAATTTCTGAGGTCAGCAGCGCGTCGTCATGAGGGTAGGAAAGTGACTCCATATCCTACAGATGTATCCTCCTTTTGGCTCAAGCCCCCTCAGATAACTTGGCATGCGAGGAATCAGTTATTTCTTCCCTGGTCACTGGATTTCTTGGAGGTTGCATTGCTAGTCCTGATGGCAAACGGCACGGCATTTTCTGTGATGTGCAGGGCACGGGGCATCCTTGCTGCCTCCTCAGCAGTGGCTTTCGTGGCGGTGATGAAGCTCTTCACCCAAGCCTGTCATTCCTAGCAGGCTGGAAGTGCTGTACAGTGGGTACAGCACGGCCCAAGGGCATTCTCTGCATGTGGCTTCTGCGCTAGCAAAATTTGGGGGATATTTCCGCAGGTCGGAACAGGGAATTCATTGTGTACAGGAA